CACTTCGCCCTGCCACTGCACCCCTTCAGAACCTGCACTTGGACGTTTGGGGCCCAGCCCCTGTCCCTGCACCACGTCGCAAGCGCTAATTTCTGGTGCTCGTTGACGAATTCACGCGCTACACCACGGTGTTTTCCCTGGAGCAGAAGGCCGACGTGCCTGACGTTCTTATCCCGTGGCTCGTCGCTGCGGGCCTCCACCGCGGTCTCCTTGTGCTGTGCCTCCACTTCGACCGTGGCGGCGAGTTCGCCTCTGGTCGGCTGGGACAGTTCTGTCGTGCGGAGGGTATCACCCAGATGTACACCCTACCGGACTCCCCGCAGCAGAATGCAGCCGGTGCACCCCATTTTCTGTGGCCGTTCGCCGTTCGCTACGCCACTAACCAGCTTGACCTCAGGCCTCACTCTCAGCGCCTGCAGGTTTCGCCAACCCTTCTTTGGACTGGGTTCCCTGGTGACGCATCTGCGTTCCTCATCGAGGGCTGCCTCGCTCAGGTTCATGCCTCTGGCATGGACAAGCTCACTGCCCGCACCGTCCCCTGTGTCTTCCTCGGTTTCCCCATTGACTCGTCTGACTGGCACTTCTACCACCCGTCGTCTCACCGCTTCCTTCACTTCCGTGACATCAATTTCGACGAGTCTGTCTCCTTTTTCCACCGCTTTCCTCAACGAGGTCTCCCGGTTCCCCCCCCCTATTTCTGGTTCCCACTCCCTCGGTCGCCCCTGCTCCCCTCCCTCCCCGTCCTGCTCCGTCTGGTGTGTCTCACGTCACTCCCCTCCAGTTGGTTGTCCCGGTCAAGGAGTCCGGTGACTCCGGTGGCCCCGCGGCGCAGTTTGCGCCACTTGTCCCTCCCCCGGTGTCTCCTCTTCCGTCGTCACAGTCGCCGCCGCAGCTGCCGCCGTCACCGTCGCCGCAGCCGCCGCCGTCACCGCCGTAGCAGCCGCAGCCGTTCGTGGACTCTAGGGTTGCTGGAGTTGGAAAGGGTGCTAGTCCTAGGGCTCCTGTCGTGGCTTGTCCCGGCGGGCTCGGGGGTGGCACCGGCGCTGGAGACGTTTCTCGTTCTGGGGGTGCTGTCGTGGAGTGTACCGGAGGTAGCAGTGGTGTAGCTGGTGGTCCAAGTGTCGGCGTTGAGCAGCAGCAATCGCCGCCGGTGTCCGCCCTTCGCGTGCTTAGCCTTCCCTCCCCTGACCGCTCGCCTGCGCCTCCCTCGCTGTCTCCCCCTCTTCCTGTTCACGGTCCTGTTTTTCCTCCGCCGGACTCGTCCCCAGCTCATTTCCCTTGTCGCTCCCCTCCTGTTACTCCTCCTCTGTCTCCTGACCCAACGCCTCCGTCTCACGTCTGGTCTCGCCGTCCCTCTTGTGGTCGTCCTGTGCCTCCTGTTCAGCATTCTCACCCTATGTTGCTTCGTTCCCACGCATCTCGTTCTCCCCGTTTGCCTTTGCCTCCTCCGTCGTCGCTCACTGTCGCGCCTCCCCCTCTGTCTGACTACCTTCGTGCTACTCGTCCTCTTGTTCCTCGGGTCCTTGCCTCCCTCGTTACCGACCCATCTGTTCCTGTCTCCAGTCTTGACGCTCTTGTAGCTGCTGTCGCTGACTTTGCCTCTACTCGCCGTCTTGACTTCGCTATCGCTCTGGTTTCTGACCCTGTCTGTCCTCCGTCCTTCGGGGGTGCTCCTGCCCTCGGCAGTGACGTCCTGGAGGACCGCCAAGTCGAGCTTGCTTTCCTGTCAGAGGCTGCTCCCCATCTCTGTTCCATGCTGCTAGTCCCTGAGGGTGACCCCGACGCCTTTGACATCCTGACCCCTCGCACCTACGCTGAGGCGACCTCGGGTCCCTGGGCCACTCAGTGGATAGCTGCCATGGAGCAGGAGATGGCATCTTGGAGAGCTACCGGCACCTACATCAACACAGTTCCCCCACTTGAGGTGAACGTACTCGATGGCCGGTGGCTCTTCAATGTGAAGCGCCCCCCTTGAGAGCCGCCTGTGTTCAAGGCGCGCTACGTGGCTAGAGGCTTCAGTCAGCAAGAGGGGGTGGACTTCTTTCAGACCTTCGCCCCGACCCCGAAGATGACTACTCTTCGGGCGCTACTACATGTAGCAGCACAGCGTGACTACGAGCTTCACTCCCTCGACTTCTCCACTGCTTTCCTTCAGGGCAGCCTACACGAGCAGGTCTACATGCGCTGCCCTCAGGGCTTCACCAATACTTTCCCTCCTTGGACCCATAGCTCCTCCGGCGCCCCGTCTGCAGCTTGCGACAGGCGCCACATGATGGGCACGACACGCTGCGTGCCACGCTAGATGACCTGCACTTCTTTTCGTCCTCTGCTGACCCTTCGCTGTTCGTTCGCGCTGGCCAGACTCCGTTCTACATCCTGGTCTACGTAGACGACCTGGTCTTTGCTACAGCAGACAGAGATGCGCTGGCCTCCGTGAAGGCTGAGGTGCTGAGGCGACAAACCTGCACTGACCTGGGAGAGCTGCGCCGCTACCTTGGCCTGCAGATCTCTAGGGACAGAGCAGCGTGCACCATCACTCTTACACAGTCACACTTGGTGCGCCATGTCCTTCAGAGGTTCGGCCTTCAGTTCTCCTCCGCACAGCCCACACCTCTGTCGGTAGACCACAGGCTCTCAGCTCCAGTTCCCGAGGAGTCAGCAGAGCCCAGTGGTCCTTACGCAGAGCTGGTGGGTTTCCTTATGTACCTGATGACTTGCACCCGCCCAGATCTCGCATACCCTCTCAGCATCCTGGCCCGCTTTGTGGCCACAGGCAGACATCGACCCCAACACTGGTCGGCCGCTAAGAGGGTTTTGTGTTATCTTGCAAGTACATCGGGCATGAGGCTAGTGCTGGGAGGACGCAGGTCAGTGGTCCTTACTGGGCTCATAGACGCTTCTTGGGCAGATGACGCTGAGACCCTCCGGTCCTCCTAGGGCTACTGCTTCAGCCTTGATTGTGGTGCCATCTCGTGGAGGTCCACTCGCTCCTCGTCTGTTGCTCAGTCTAGCTGCAAGGCTGAGATCTACGCCGGTGCCATGGCGGCACAGGAGCTCCGCTAATGACGTTCTTGCTTGCCGACTTAGGTGAGCGGCCTAGCTCTGCCCCAGTTCTATACGGTGACAACAGGGCCATGATCCTCCTGTGTCAGGAGCCTCGAATTGAGGGCAGAGCGAAGCACATCCAGCTGTGGTACTTCCTCCTGCGCGAGCTTCAGCAGCGTCGCCAGGCCCGCGTAGTACACTTGGCCTCGGGTGCCAACATAGCTGATATCTTTACTAAGGCGCTTCCGCCTAGAGATCATCAGCGGCACTGCTTGTAGTTAGGTCTACTCCCTGTTGACTCTCACTTGCTAGGCCCTTGATTGTATACTCCTTTCTATTTATGCCTGGCAAACTGGCCTTGTGGCTTTTCCTCCTGTGGTTGGACTAGTAGTGCCGCCCTGGTTTGCTCTGTCTTGCTTGTACTCTTGCTGACTGGTCTTCGGGCCCCTGCCTCAGAGGTTGGACTAGTAGTGCCATCCTGAGGTGCGTGTTTCTTGCTCAGTACTACCCCTTATCTAGCCTAAGGGGTGTGTCAACTTATACATATATTGTTATGAAGAATTTATAGGCTAGATAGGGTATGTTCTTAGTGGGTACAACCCAAATGCTATACAGTATCTCCCATGTTCTCCCTTCTTCTATTCATTCTTTCTAGTCTTGACATAATCTCCTCTTTAGAAACGTGAAGCACACCCATGGAGCTCTTGAACGACGGGTTCGACTTTGTAGTCGCACAAAACCAGATCTGGTTGAGTTGTGCGATTTCCGTTCTTGTCGCGCCATGTTCCCCCGTGTTGTGTGATGTCATCATATGCTATCACATTCTGTCTGCCTCCCATCCCATGTTTTCAACTTGCATGTGTGGTTTGAATGTGCAAGCATTTGTGTGGTGTGTGTTCTGGAGTTTGGGAATGTGTTATGTGTTATTTTGTTTGAGCAGGTATTTGTGATGATAGATCTTGAGAAGATCTTTCCGACGCAACAAGAATCTCTTCAATTGGAGCAACAACGCGAAAGCTATGAAGATTCAAAGTTCATGAGCTTGCGTTACAATTGCGGCGGTTACAAAGTGAAGTTGTGGGGTGACTCTATATGGAGTTGGGACCTTTGGGGTTTGGGAAATTTGTCACTCTACTGTAACAGCTGCAAATTGGTTGGGAACAACCAAGCTAGGTTGGCAAGGGTGGCCAACTTGGATGGATTGGTTGGGAAGGGACAAATGTCAAAGTTGGGGTTCCTATAGGGAGGGAATCTTTGTGCTTATGGGGTTTCCTTGGTTGGGGACTCTCTTGGGACCTTCCCTCTCATCCCTCTCTTCCTATCCCAACCTTTCTCTTGCTCCTTCTAATTCCTTGTGAGATTCTTGAACTTTGATTGAACTCTTGAGATTGAGTTAAGTTCTCCTCCTACAGCTTACCCCCTAGTGCGTCGAAAGCCATAGCGTCGCGAATACTTCATCAATCAACGTGATTCAAATTGGGAACGGTAGCTGAGATCAAGAGCTACAACATATCCAAGTTTCGCGACATTCCAACGGCTAGTGTTTTGTCGACGTCGTTTCTTGTGAAGACGACTTTTCTGTCCAGAATTTCGGATTTATATTTTGAGTAATTCTAGCTCCTAAGTTCACCTAGACTCTGTCCTTAATCCTAACAAGTGGTATCAGAGCGATATTAAGGACATTGAGAGGAGTCTACAGAAGTGTGAAGACCCTTCTAGACCCACCATGGCCTGTGGGTGTGCCTAAGTGGTGTTCTAAAGGTTGGATGTGTCTTCCGCTAAGGGGAAACTCTGCCGAAATTTCGTGGACGCCGACACTTGTGAAAATATCGAGGGAGCTGAGTGTGGACAGCAAAGGGGAGCTGAAATTCGTCATTTCTCAAGGAGAAGATGAATGAGAGAGGAGGAGATGCTAATGGAAGAGGAGCTGTAGCTGAGAAGACAAGTGAGCCGCCGCCATCAAAAGTTGAAGCTTTGGATGGCTCCAACTATGAGGAATGGAGCGGACGGATGAGGAGTGCCTTCAAACGCTACAAGCTCCTGAAGATTGCTGTTGGGGAAGAGAAGATGCCGGAAGAAGGCGAAGCACGCGAACGGTGGATTGAGAAAAGCGCGGTGCTTTTCGACCTCATCCTTCAATCGGTCAACAAGGAGATGTTCGAGCACATCAAGGATCTTGTGGAAGCGGATGATTCGGGTCCAAGGGCGTGGAAACTACTACGCGATGTGATTCAGCCCAACACTCTCCCGATGGTGATCGTGCTCGAGAAGGAACTTGCTGCCATCTCCATGCGACCAGGGGACGATGTGAAGCCGGTCCTTGACAAGATCAAGGACACCTATGCAAGGATGGCAGCAGCGGGCAGCAGTGTATCTCAGCTGCAGCAGTGCACCAAGATCATCTCGGTGTTGGACAACTCGTGGGATAACCTCATCCCCACCCTCAACTCTCAGCAAGATCAATGGACACCTGAGTGGCTAAGGCAGCAGATTCTGCAGGAGGACTTCCGCAGACGCCATGTGGGAGGCGGTGCTGCCACTAAGACTGCTGAGGGGTATGGAGCTGCAGGGCGCGGCAGAGGAAGAGGGGGTTGGAAAGGCCGAGGCCGTGGGAGGAGCTTTGGCAGAGGTAGAGGCCGAGGTGACTATAATGAGGGGCATGGAAGCTCCAGTGGCAGGGGGAGCACCAGAATGGAGGGCACCTGCTGGTACTGCAAGAAGATCGGGCATCCTTGGTTCAAGTGCTTCAGCAGGCCGGAGGGATGGTCACCTCCAGGCATGAAGCCGCCAAGTGGTGAACGCGCACAAGGTGGCGCTGTGCAAGGCTCAGGTGCACAAGGTGAAGGTGCACAAGGTAACGCCTATCCTGGGATGTATCTTATGGTTGAGGATGTGCATGGGCATGAGGGTGATGTGGGATCTGTGGGAAAGGTTGTGATGCACCCTCTCACGCACTGGGTGATTGATTCAGGTTGCACCAGTCACATGACCCCACGGGCAGATTTGCTTGATGAGGTAAAACCCCCTGGGAAGATTAAGTATGTGGCAGCAGCGTCAGGTGCTTTGCTCCCCGTGATTGGTGTTGGGAATGCCAAGGTTAAGGGAGCTAATGGGGAGCTTGTGGGGCTTGGGAATGTTCTGCTGGTTAAAGGCTTGTCTGCTAACCTTCTCTCTGTGCGGCGACTGCAGAAGAGTAAGGCCGAAGTGACCTTTGGACCAACCAGCTGCCGTGCTAAGCTTGGGAAGAAGGTGCTGTGGAGTCTGGAAGAGGAGACCAGCTGCATCAAGGACCTGTGGCAGCTGCCCATCATCCCTTGGAATGGGAAGACTCCAACAGCAGTAGAGCAGCAGCAGCAGCAGCAGCATGAGTCTCCATCTCGAGTTCCACACCCGCCTGAGCGTCCTAGGAGGGATGTGCGCCCTCCAGTGAGGCTGACCTATGGGGGAAGAGGCAGGCCGAATGTGGTGCAGGCTGGGAGTGTGGTTGAGCAGATTGAGGAAGATGAGATCGCTCACTGCTACTGGGCACCAATCCCTGAGCCCAAGACTCGAGAGGAGGCCTTGAATGGACCAAATGGGGAGAAGTGGAAGGCGAGTGAGGATGAGGAGTTCGGGTCCCTAATTGAGAACGAGACATGGGACCTGTGTGACTTGCCTCCTGGAAAGAAGGCAATCACTTCCAAGATGATCTACAGGCACAAGTATGGACCTGAAGGGGAGCTGACCCGCTACAAGTCCAGGCTTGTGGCAAGGGGGTTTCAGCAGACAAAAGGGAAGGACTATGATGAGGTGTTTGCTCCTGTGGGGAAAGGAACAACACTGAGGGTGCTGTTAGCGATAGCTGCACTCCTGGGATGGAAGATACGGCAGATGGACATTGTGACTGCTTTTCTGAATGGGATCATTATGGAGGAGGTGTACATGAAGCAGCCAGAGGGGCTGGATGACGGGAGCGGCAGGGTCTGCAGGCTGAAGAAGGCCATCTATGGCCTTAAGCAGGCGCCTCGTGCATGGTATCACAAGTTGGAGGAGGCGCTGTTGGCTGGGGGTTTCAAGAAGAGTGAGTGTGACCCCAGCCTGTTCCTGCTGCAGGAGAAGGATGAAATCCTCATGCTCTTGGTGTATGTGGATGATATCCTTCTCTTTTCTGCATCAACTGCTTTGCTGGACAGCGCAGAGCAGATGCTGGAGATGCAGTTCAAGTGCTCCAAGATGGGTGAGGTGAAGTACTACTTGGGGATGCACGTGGAGAGAGATGTGGAAAAGGGTGTGCTGAGGTTGCACCAGAGGAAGTACTGTGAGGGGCTGGCTGAGAAGTATGGGCTGCAAGATGGGGGAAAGCCAGCAACACCACTACCTTCAGGGTTTACTGTGGAGCCATGTGCTGATGAGGAGGTAGTGGGTGATAGTGACAGGAAGCTGTTTCATTCGATGGTTGGGTCGCTGAATTATGCTGCAAATCATACACGGCCTGACATTGCATTTGCTACATCACGATTGGCTAGTGTGGTCTCACGCCCTAGTCATGAGCAGCTGGAAGCGGCCAAGAGGTTGGTCCGCTATGTGAGCGCTACGGCATCAGTGGGATTGGAGTACAGTGGAGTGAGGCAGCGGTTGCAGAGAGGTGCTGCAGATGTGAAGAGTGGAGAGATGCTCTTGAGTTGCTATACTGACGCTAGCTTCAACTCAGTGAAAGCGGATGGCACCAGCATTGGGGGTTATGTGTGCTTGCTAGGAGGTGGTGCTGTGAGCTGGCGCAGCAAGAAGCAGAATGAGGTGGGATTGTCCTCATGTGAGACTGAGTACATGGCCTTACACCATGGGGCCAAGGAAGTAGTGTGGCTAAGGCGTTTGTTGGAGGAGTTGGGAGTTGGTCAGGAGAAGCCGACAGTTGTGTTTTGTGACAATGAGTCCGCTGTGAAGCTCGCCAAGAATGCTTGTCTGCATGGGCTGACAAAACACATAAGGCCTAAGTGGCATTGGGTGAGGAGACTCCTTGATAAGGAGGTGCGGCTGGAGATAGTGAAGACCCATCAGCAGGCAGCAGATATTTTCACCAAGCGTCTGGCGGAGGCGGATCATTGGAAGGGCATGAAGCTTGCTGGGATGAGTGTGCATTGAGTATGCATGCTTGAGATGTGGTATGGTGGATGATGGTTGGCAGCCAGAGGGGGAGATTGTTGTGTGATGTCATCATATGCTATCACATTCTGTCTGCCTCCCATCCCATGTTTTCAACTTGCATGTGTGGTTTGAATGTGCAAGCATTTGTGTGGTGTGTGTTCTGGAGTTTGGGAATGTGTTATGTGTTATTTTGTTTGAGCAGGTATTTGTGATGATAGATCTTGAGAAGATCTTTCCGACGCAACAAGAATCTCTTCAATTGGAGCAACAACGCGAAAGCTATGAAGATTCAAAGTTCATGAGCTTGCGTTACAATTGCGGCGGTTACAAAGTGAAGTTGTGGGGTGACTCTATATGGAGTTGGGACCTTTGGGGTTTGGGAAATTTGTCACTCTACTGTAACAGCTGCAAATTGGTTGGGAACAACCAAGCTAGGTTGGCAAGGGTGGCCAACTTGGATGGATTGGTTGGGAAGGGACAAATGTCAAAGTTGGGGTTCCTATAGGGAGGGAATCTTTGTGCTTATGGGGTTTCCTTGGTTGGGGACTCTCTTGGGACCTTCCCTCTCATCCCTCTCTTCCTATCCCAACCTTTCTCTTGCTCCTTCTAATTCCTTGTGAGATTCTTGAACTTTGATTGAACTCTTGAGATTGAGTTAAGTTCTCCTCCTACAGCTTACCCCCTAGTGCGTCGAAAGCCATAGCGTCGCGAATACTTCATCAATCAACGTGATTCAAATTGGGAACGGTAGCTGAGATCAAGAGCTACAACATATCCAAGTTTCGCGACATTCCAACGGCTAGTGTTTTGTCGACGTCGTTTCTTGTGAAGACGACTTTTCTGTCCAGAATTTCGGATTTATATTTTGAGTAATTCTAGCTCCTAAGTTCACCTAGACTCTGTCCTTAATCCTAACACCCCGAAGTCGTGGGGGTGCTTGGTGCATCGTGGCTTTCTCGCTATGTTTCAAATTGTCGCAACACACTTCTTTTCGTTACGCTTGGTGCGGTGTGCTCCATTCTGAGCCGTTTATTCTGACCACAAAAAAAAGGTCAGTTTTCAAAAGCGCCCAAGGTGTGCTTTTTTAGCCTGTGGTTTTAAGTCTTTCTGTAAGTACAGCGACGGAAAGTGTTGCCCGGATAAAGTCCAATTTTAGGTTCAACACATTATTTGAATGCTTTCACCCGATGTATCGTTGAATGTTCATTGCTGACTAGTAAGTTACGCGTGCCAGTTACAATAGGGTAACACGATTGCAATTTGAATGGGTCGCACTAATAGCGTGGACAAGATTTCAGTCGCGTGAGTGCATCCGGACAGTTTTGGCCAAGCAGCGGACTAGATCCGTTTTCGACTAGCGCATTCTCTCCATAGTTCCTAACGCAATCGTCGAGTAGTCAGAATAGAGTTTATACCCGAGGCGTAGACTACGCCAAGATGAGATCGATAGATGAGGCTCGTCGCGCCCGGATCGTGGCCCTGTTGCGTAGGGGGTTCAGCACGAGGCAAATCGCGAAACAGGTTGGCGTTGGGAAAAGTACAGTACATGATGTCGGGCTCAAGGCGATTTCAGAGACTAGTCCCGAGGACGTACGTCCTACAATGCCCACTGCTGGTCGTCCACGCGTACTGACGAGTAGAATTCGTCGTGGGATCGTCAGGGCGATCACTAGCGGCGAGGCGAAAACCTCGAGGCATGCGGCCCAAATCGTCGAATCCCAGCACGGCATCACGGTGCATCCTAGGACGGTGCGTAATGCGCTCAAATCCAGCGGCCTTATCGCAGTTCAGCAGCCTAAGAAGCCGCGACTCTCCAAGAAAAATATCCGCGATAGGCTGGCGTTCGCACGGGCCCACGCGGATTGGACCATAGATGATTGGCGACGGGTCATATGGTCGGATGAGACGAGGATTAGTAGGTTCGGCTCTGACGGCCGCGCGTACGCCTGGGTTCGTGAAGGTACGACTCTCCAACACCACCAGATCAAGCAAACCGTCAAACACGGGGGCGGCGGCTTGATGCTCTGGGGATGTATGACGTTTGAGGGGGCGGGTTTCATGTGCAAAATCGATGGTCGGATGGACGGGCCGCTGTATCTGAGCATTTTGCAAGACGAGCTAAAGAAAACCATCGACTTTTACAAGCTAACCCCCTCGGCTGTGATCTTCCAGCATGATAACGACCCCAAGCATAAGTCCCGTTTGGTGCAGCAGTGGCTTCAGGAGCAGGAGTATGGGGTCCTGGAGTGGCCAGCAGGAAGTCCTCATCTGAACCCCATTGAGCATCTGTGGGCTCATCTTAAAAGGGAGCTGGGAAAGCATGAGACACCTCCCTCTGGTATGGTGGACCTGTGGGAGCGTGTACAAGAGGAGTGAGAGAAGATCCCATCAGAGGTGTGCTCCAATTTGATCGACAGCATGCCCAGGAGGGTGAAAGCAGTGATTAGGGCTAAAGGGCGGTGGACCAGGTACTAGTTTAAGGGTTTTTCAAGTTGCTGCTTCCGCCTGGAAATAATTGTCCACATGCACCGTGTTTGGTTATGTTTGCTGTTTACTGTTAACGATAGTAGTTTCATCAAATGTGTAGCATTTTTATGTCTCCCTAGATTGGCCTGCATATAGTGGGTAATGCCTCCAATTAAGGATTAATGTTCAAATGCCCTTTAACGGTGGAAATTCAAAAAATTGCCAAACATGTGGACAATTCTTTCCGTCAGTGTAGTTCCGATAGATATTATCGAGTGACACTGTAGTTAGCATCCGTAGAATGGCGTCAGCAAATAAACCTCGTCTGGATGGTTACGTCAGCAGGTCGCTTCAGTTAGGCGAATAGTTGCGCCCCTTTTAGTATCGATTAGAGCGCATGGCACAAGTAGTTTTTTAACAGATACATTACCGAACAGGTACTTCTAGCAGGTATAAAGAGTAGCTTGTATGACTTCAATTATTAACTTGTACTTCAATAACTTATGGTCAACACTTACAAGTTCTAAGACTTCCGCTGTCTTACTAGCAGGGCCTCAGATTTCAGGCAAATTTCCCTGATTCAAGGTTTTTTCAGAGGTTTTGTAGGTACCGACCCTGATGTGCTATGATTTTTTTTTTCCCTTAACCCTGATAAATCATAGTTTTCTTATAACTGAACTCTGTTTGACCAGCATAACAACGGTAGTGGGCCCTGACTGTTACAGCCTAGAAACGGGGACTTGCTGTGTTTCCAGTAATAGGCCCCTCCCTCCCCCCCTCCCCCCTGAGATTCCCGTGAGTTCCCCGTCAGTCACGCCGAGCCGACCAATCTCCCACCCAAATCTGCGTCATGGTGGCGAGTTTTCCGCCAGCACATCATGTGCTGCGGCTAAGGGATTGGGCGACGAGTGTTTGACAGCATGTGCTGTCGCCAACATAGAGCGTGACTGCGTGACATGGTTGGACACCAAGAAATCACAAGTATAGCAACCAATGGAGAACTGGCAACTTACAGCGGCCTTGCATTTTGCTGCCACACAGACGTCACTGTCGGTGTGTG